ATCTGTTGCTACATAATTTTTTTGTTTTGTTTTTATTGATATTGATTCTTCATAACACATATTATCATGCAACTGTATAAATATGTTTCTATTATTAATTGTACAGCGTATGTCACAATTAAAGTCAATATCTTTGTGAGGCAATTTAAATTTTAATCCTCCTGTAAAATAAACCATTTTTACATATATTTATGAATATTTGTCGAAATAGCTCAATAATTGATAAATATAAATCTATTAAATATGCTATCGATCAAATAATATTTAATAATAATACAATATTTAACATTATTTTCTACTATAATTTATTCTTAAGACTTAGGGGCAGTTTCACCAACATCGGTTAGCTTAATCTGCTAGTATTCCATTAGGATGGACTAATCGCATTTTTGGTGAGCACAACGACTGGCATTGGTGAAACCGGTCTTTAGAGATACAAATTCTTCGTACTTTCGGTCATACATTTTATGTATCCATTTTATGTATCCATTCGACTATGATATCTCCTGCGATATTTCCTTCTTATATATGCTCTTTCTATATTATTATCATCCATTTTTTACTTTTACTGTTAATTCCTACATACATAAAAATTTCAACTTCATATACTAAGAAAAAGATATTCGTGTATGAGAATCGTTCGAGTCAGGTAAAAAAGCAATAAAACCTATTTTCTGGAAAATTTTTTTCACTTTTCGACGTAGTCTCCTTGGAGCTCTACACACTTAGTCCAGTGGTGTTTCAATTTTTTGATCCCTTCAGAAAAGTAGGAAATCTTGAGGCCAAAATATGCATTCACAACAACGATGACTTCCTCATCGGACGAAAATTTCTTTCTTCCGAGCCAGATCTTGAGATTTGGGAATAGAAAGAAGTCACAAGAGGTCAAATCAGTAAAATAGAGCGGATGGGGCAGCAATTCGAATCTGATTCATGCAATTTTGCCATTGCGACTGTGGAGGTGTGAACCGGAGCATTGTCATGATGAAAGATGACTTTTTTGCGCGCCAATCTCGGCCGTTTCGTTTGCAGCTCTTTACAAGTACAAATGATTCAGAAGTATAGAATAATATATACGAGGATAATTTGAAAAGTTTTGAGCCTTAACATGAAGATGACATTCGTCAAAACCATTCTAGTACTACAATAGTATATGTTTTGAAAGACTTTTGTGAAAATTTCAGCCATTTTGGACGTTCAGTTGTTGTTTGACAGTCGTTTGTGTCAGTCGATGTCAGTGTTTTTGTAAAAATGGAAAAAATTGAATATGAATCGTGCCGTGATTAAATTCTTACATTTGAAAGGCAATACGCCTGCGCAAATTAAAATCGAGTTGGACACTGTTTACGGGGACTCTGCTTCATCATTTGCCACCGTAAAAAGATGGGCAGCTGAATTTAAACGTGGTCGTACCAGCTTGGCTGATGATGAGCGTTCGGGACGGCCAAAAACTGCGACCACCATTGATAACATCGAAAATGTTCATCAAATGGTACTGGACGACCGTCGAAGATTAGAAAGATAGCAGAGGCTATGGGCATACCGAAAGAACGCGTTTGTCATATACTGAAGAATTAGATATGCGCAAGCTATCCGCGCATTGGGTGCCGCGCTTGCTCACTTTGGACTAAAAACGAATTCGAATGAACATTTCCAAGATCCTGGAGCGGTTCAAGCGAAACGAGTCAGATTTTTTGCGTCGATTCATAACTGTAAATGAGACTTGGATCCACCACTACACTCCAGAGACAAAAGAACAGTCAAAACAGTGGACTGCAAAGGGTGAATCTGCTCCGAAAAAGATGAAGACGGTTCCAACAGCTAGGAAGGTAATGGCGACTGATTTTTGGGATAGTCACGGAATTGTGTGTATCGACTATCTTGAAAAAGGTAAAACAATAACGGGAGCATATTACGCATCATTACTTGATAAGCTGAAAGCAGAAATTGCAAAAAAACGCCTCTTTTGCGGAGCAAGACGCCAACTACTATTTGGAGGGGTTAAAGAGGTTAGAGTATCGATGGGAAAAGTGTATTGACTTAAAAGGAGATTATGTTGAAAAATAAAACTATATTTGACCGAAAAAATACTTGTTTCTATGTTAGGCTCAAAACTTTTCAGACTACCCTATATTCAGATTCAGAAGTATAGAATAATATGCTCCTGTGATTGTTTGATCTTCTGTAAGTGATCAATGAAGATGATTCCTTGGGAATCCCAAAAAACAGTGGCCATTATCTTCCCGGCCGACAAAACAGTCTTCGCCTTCTTCGGCGCACATTCATCAGGCGCTGTCCACTGCTTTGATTGCTGTTTCGACTCGGATGTATAGTGATGGATCCAAGTCTCGTCACGAATCGACGCCAAAAGTTTTGTGGATTGCGCATCGACAAACACTGCTGTGAAATGTCTTTTCGCATGCGTTTTTGATCGATCGTCGAGCAATCGCGGCACCCATCGTGCACAAAGCTTTTTCATTTCTAATTCTTTATGCAGGATATTATGCACCCTATCTACTGAGATGCCTACAATCTCAGCTATGTCACGCACCTTTATTCGGCGATCTTCCATGACGATACGATGGATTTTTTCAATCATTTCTGGCGTAGTGACTTCAACTGGACGTCCGGGACGCGTTTCATCTTTGATTAATGTCCGGCCTCTTTTGAATTCATTAATCCAAAAATAAACAGTCTTCAACGCTGGTGCAGAGTCCTCATGAATTTCGTAAAATTCGGCTTTAATCTGCGTAGCCGTCCACTTCTTTAAATAAAAATGTTTAATCACTGCACGGAATTCGTCTTTTTCCATTTTTACGACAACTGCTGCCATGCTCACTTCCAACGTCTGCCACATGTAAAGTAAGCGTCGCTTTTGGCTTGGTATGAGGCAGTTTGAATAGTGTTATTTCCTGGCCATATACTACACAGTTCATTATGGCGCTATCTCGCAAAAATTTACCTGACTTATCGAACGACCCTCATATAAAGATATATATATATATATATATATATATATATATATATATATA